AAGTAGGCGAGCGCCATTATCAATATTACTACTCAACAACTTACCTAACCTACCTTTCACCTAACGATGTTACAACCAATATTGTCAAGGTGTCGTTTGAACTCACGCTTCCCCTACTGGAATGCGGTCTCTCAGATGCATCATTGCAGATCTTTTTAAAAATATATAATGGAGAACTAAATAGTGCATGATTACCTCTAATTACCTACAAGATCTTATCAATCTTACATACCCTACTTTTTCTTCTATTGTGATATGCAAATAATTACAAGCGAATTTAGTATGCTATGCGACTATGCTGGTATCGTATTTCTCCCTAAATTATGGAACTTTTGATATATCGGATATTCATTTTCAGATTGGTGATCACGTCAATACGCTTTATATATGTATGTATATATATATATATATATATATATATATATATATATATATATATATATATATATATATATATATACATATATATGCAGCATCGTCTATTTCTGAGGCAAAGTCACTGAAATTATATGAAAAAGTGTAAACAGTGTAAAATTCTACGATTTACATAATTGTATTTATGTGAACCCAGAGTCAAGTTAGCTATTCAGTGACACCGGACAGAGTACACTATTTATTTTCACATCATTATTTAATAATCATTAACGAAATTAGAGAAACTATTAATTCCTAGTACTGTAATAACACCTGGCAATTTTATTTCTCTTTAAAAAAAACCAACGGAATTCCCCAACGCTATTAGCTATTTTATAACAAAATGTCGGCATGCCATAAATATCTCATGAAATTATCAATAATACGTATCCAGCAGAAATAGTTGGCATGCCATAAATGGCTCATAAGCATTCCGATAGTGTTTTTTTTTTCAGTAGTAAGCAAAAAACCCAAACGATATTCAAATGAAAAAAGATGTAACGCAAAAGAATATTCATGGGGAAAAAATGCATTTTTCCTCATTTTTGTCAGGTGGAACAGGTAAAGGAATTCCTCAAACTCTAAAGTACGTGTTTAGAAATATTCAAAAACTATATTTTAAATTAAATCTGATCGAGGGAATTTTGAGAAACTGGTAAAAAATTTGTTACCATTTGACATCACGGTAAGTATTAAATTTTGGAAAAATACCCATTTTCAAAGCATCCCCATAAATTATATGTTTTCAGCTCCAGTGATTTGTGCTGTGTTTGCATCATCAAATATGTATGGTTTCTGTATATAATTTTATTGCATGTATTTCATACGCTTAGTTAATGTGTAATGTTATGAAATGGCGAAATGTGAGTATTATTTCCTTTTTATAAAAATATTTAAAAATTCACATGCATTTTATTAAACGTCAATCTGTATACATCATATTTCAGGTTACCAGCTAGCGTATTAAATAATACCCTTTACTTTTGACCGTAAATTGTTCTAAAGATCGAAGTGTTCAACATTCCATATCCAGAGGACTGTTAGAAAAGCCTTCCAAGCAAACATAAGAAATACATTTCTGGATAGTGGCAATGTTTGCAAATTACATGTTACATGTTGTGCAAACAGTAAACGGAACTTTAAATAAAAGTTGAAGTTTTTTATTTGGCTAGGTAAGGCGAATATAGTGTGAAATCGAAAGTAATCTGTAACTTGCAGCAGTAAAAAAAAACAATCAGTATAAGTGATCCACAGAAAATTATATAGGTTGGAGAACAGTTTACCTTTAACGTCTAATAGGTATTTAACAGAATTAGAAGTAAATTTAATCTACAAAATTAAATTAGTGTGTTAAAAAAAAGGAACACTGTGTAGGTGAACTTAAGAAAGAGTTTATACTAGTCACAGACCTAGGTGGTTACAACATTTTCTAGGTTCTACATAGAGACAACATCAAAGCAAACCTGTCTAGTAACCAACATTGCAGCACAGAATATTGAAGAATACAGAAGAGAAATGGACTTTTGTTACGTGGATTCCAGAACCACTGTCTACCAAAATGGCAAAACTTGCTATTGCATATTCTCCAATCAGCGCCTGAAGATGGACGTACCAGAAGGCAACCAAACAAACACGGACACATTCATAGCACGCGGTAGTCCGTCAGACCCTAGGCACGTTTCCAGAGCTCCGGGCAGCCGACGAGAACGAATTGACTTTTATCAATGGGACCGTCACGTCATTTCACTTCTATGTACTTATGTACTGTGTTTTTTCAGCGTGTTATAAATACGATTTTTCTACAAAACTAGTCAATGTGTACTCAACATAAAAGAACACACACTTTCACTGCAAATGTAATCTTGGATCTCCTCAAAATGGCTTTGAAAAAAGCTGTATGATATCTGAAATACTAATAACAAGATGCCTGCGAAACCACGATAGAAACCCGCGCTGGACTTCTCTTCAGACTTACACCAATAAAATAATAGGGTACCGGTGTATCCAAATTCAAAGAAAGAAAATTAATATTGAATCACAGGCAGACAAGTTTATTTATTTACAGTGAAAAATGTAAGACATCGGAATGAATAGTTAGGCTTACAGAAATATGTGAGTTTAGATTAGAAGTTTTTACAGTCGAGCGAGACACAAGTTTGTTTCTACTACGTCTTCACGGCCTATGCTGAGATCCGCCGCATGTAGTAAACATTATTGAAACCCCCTATTGTGGTCGACTAAGCAGGAGGAGAGCGAGCTGTCGGCCTGCGCACTTATTTCACATTCCTCCACAGTCAGTCAGCCATCCAGCCCAGTCCCGTGAACCAGATGGCGAATTTTTCTACAGGTAGGTGGGTGACTTAATACAAAACTTTCATGGGGAAAAAGTAATTAAATACGAGTTTTTAAAGTAAAATGTAATAATTGCGTAATACGATCTTGCTGAAATTCGAACTTGACCTGTATTTTACCCTGAGCATTCGCTCTGAAAAATTTGAAGAACTTCTGTTAAGTTTAAATTGACCTGGAAGTATTAAAGATGGACAGACAGAAAGACAGAGATCATCTCCTTATTATACAGTAGATAATTATTAAATTCTTTTACTTGCTTGTACAAAATAAAAAGTAACCGATGTAATTGTAACAGTCTAAGTGCCAATTATCAAAATAATTTTGAGTATATGTAATAGTTTCGTTACATGATGTCAAAAACTATTTCATTAAAAAACAATTAATAAAAATTGAATTAATATTTTTTTGTGCAAATATGACAACTGTAACTTTAATTTGTTATTCTACATTTTACTTAACTCAAACATTTTTCGGGTTAAAGTGCTTCTTGAAGGAAAAGATGTGGCAGTTGTCACATTGTTTTCAAATAAGCTAATTGGTGATCTTTATGTAATGATTGATGTTCTAACTCTTTTAGATTACATTTTTATCTCAAAACTTAAAATTGAAAAACCTGCAAAACACATAATAAATTCCCAAAAATTTTATTCTTTGCAGATTAATGATACGAAGACTTATTTCGAGATTTAGCTTAAACTATAGTATTTGTTAAAATTAAATTGTAAGAAAAACAAATACATGAAAAAATGATATATATGTCTTTTTATTGGTTTTGGAATATAATTTTTACCTTTCCACACATTTTTCAGTCTATTTTTTTTACCAGAATGAAAACGTATGTGATCTGATATTTTTATTTAGTAAACCCAATATTATGCCTAGAAATCATAAAATGCACTTACTATCAATTTTTAAAATGGTTTTTGAATGACTGCGGCGAAATTAGTTAATTTTTGTTGCATGTGTGATAACAAGAACATGCTGCTGTAGGTGGTACCATGCCCAAGCAAGGCGATTGTAATGGTGCTAAGGTTGGTCCTCCTGAATAAGCTCATACTTATGCCAATGGCAACATCGGCTATGCACATCCAGAGACTTCGATGTTCCTGGAGCATCGGAAGACATCGTGGATACAAAAATGGTCGTCAGTCGTATAACACTATACTTGTATAATTTGATGTATATAGCCAAGTTATTACTTCGAGCAAACAGTTTAGGACAGTTATCGCAGATATAGGTGACAAGTGATGGATTCTTCAAACATTATATACTACTTTGTCGCGGATTGTAGTCGAATATATAAACTTCCTCGCAGTATCGTTCCACCAGCAGAATGAAGTTACTATAGAGCTGTATTATGTGTAGTTAGAATTTCTTTACTGATGCATATTTTTAAAGTTATCGCCGTTCAAATTACTTATACTGCCAACATGTACTTTACGATGTTTGCGAATCTTAACGATAAATCTGAGGAAATTATATACGAGGCACATCTACAAAGGAGTATACAAATTTAGATATTGAATTTTCAAAACACAGTAAACGAGCTTAACGTTCATGCATTAACTAGGTAATGTCTACATTTTCAAAATACTTAATAGTTTTATTGAATTGCATAAAATATGCAATAATGCAATGCAGAAAACTTAACAGTTCCCGGTTTTCTACAATGTCGTGTGCTAAAACCCGACCTACTAGTTGTTCGTCACACAACTACCCCTACTCCGGGTTTGTGTGGAAACACTTAATCAGTTTGCAAGAAGCTAATTTTTAGCTTAAATATATAAGTAACAAAATTTCCAAAAATTGTAAATGAAAAATTTTATTACGTAATGAATACTATTATTTGATCGAGTATAGCCAATGTACCACTATTAATTACTGTAATTGCCGAAATTCTGGATTCGAAATCTTTTAGTGTGGAATGCACATACACAGAAGCACAAACTGGAAAGTGATAGCATAAAAACTTTTTTTTTCAAATGAAATTCCAACTGATAATGCGTATGTAAATCGAAGGCAAAATGGGCTGCACTAATAGCCTGTACCAATTCAAGCACTAACAGATTACAGAAGAAGAAATATTCTTAGGTGAGGAATTAATCACACTTATTTTACAATACGGCATGATGACAAGTAGCTACATACTCAATGATAGTTGCGTTTCAAAATTATTAACAAATGTGTATAGTGAAACAACGTTTATTCGATTTCTTCTTTCATTGTCTGTCGGTTCCTCGGTAGTATAGTGGTTAGTGTCCTCCGCCTGTCACCCGGGAGACCGGGATTCGATTCCCCGTAGGGGAGGAAGTTGAAGTATTTATAACCTTTTTGTTGGTATGTTATAAATGTTTATTGATTTTCCACCATGGCTTTACGCTATGTTACGAGCAGTTGAACCATAATAATGTCTTGTGTATTCAGGGTATTAAATTAATTTATTTCGTCTCACTTTAATTAGGTACTTGAGATTTACGTGCCTTCGACTGGGTTTTGAAATATCGTATGTTAGCTTAAAAATAATTGTATACTTTTGTATAACGTTACATTCTGCTGAGAAGAAGCCATTATTTTTTATTACTCATTAGTAATGGTATTTCGCCAAATACGAATCACAAACTTTCGTGTACAGTATCATATTTACACAATATTGTTTTATAACCAGTGATGCAGATTTTAAAGTTACTTAGCAGTCTGCATGACATAGGCTAAGTGCTTTTCCACAATGACCCGGAATAAACTTTGCATTCTGTTTATATCCTATTACGGGGTTTTGTTCTAAACTTGAATTTTATCTCGCATTATAGTATTTATTTACATTCTAGGTAAGTTTACCCGCGTAAGCACCTTGAACAATGCAGCTGACCTATTAAATATATATGTTGTGTGTGTTGTGTGTGTATGTATGTGAAGTAAAAGTGAACGATAGAGTGAGTGAGTGAAGAGATTTGGGCGGCTCCTAACAGCGAGGTCTTGAGAGCCGAGTGAACGAAAGAATTTATTAGTGTAAGAAGTACTGGAATGAATTCAGTATTAAACATTTCCGTTTTTTGGTATATTCTTTTATACAATTACAAATCAAAAAATAGATACGCACTATGATCTATATAAAAGCCGTCACGTATTGTGTAAAGTTAACGAAATAAATATAATTTAAAAATTACCGCTATATTTTCTTCGGACTTATGCGTCACACTTACATGTAAATGCATTGAAAGAATTAAACGTCTTTACTAGAAATTTTTAACTAATATTAATCAAACATGTCGCTGGCATTTGTAAACTTGTCGGCCATATCCTTGGCTTTCATGTCAGGAATGTTAAGGCCTGTTAGTGGTCATGTTCAACATAATCACAGTTTAGTGTTTTACTGTCTGAGAAGGAGATCTTCCGCGGTTCTGTGTAGTGTTGGAACCACTGACAGCACAAGTATCTGGTATAATCTGATTCATGACCGCGGAAAGCAAGTGAAGCGTCTCAGGCCATATGTCTCAGAGCCTTTCTTATCCCAAGAGAACCCATTGCCTCCTTGTGCCATCACTGGATAACGCCAGCAGCATTGAGGTTAAGAACAGAGGGAGTCAACAGGTTGCCCCCATGCCTGGACTTTCTGAAAGGGATATCTTATTCCCACGCTTATCTTGAACCAAGGGCAATCTTAATTGTATCGGCCTTGTCGACCTGGTTTTTTAGAAACCGTGAAGCATTTGCTCAATCAGAACTGTACTTTTAGAAATCCATACTTTTTCATAAGAGGCAGATAGTTTAAAATAATATTTTCCATAACGCAGAGAACACTACGATTTTTAGAAAGCTACAAGTTTTCTTATTATGGCATGGTTAATGGATTTAGACGATTTGCAGTACAGTAATGTGTATTCAAACACGTTTACAACAGATTCATGTGTTAGCCGAAAAAGGGAAAACAAGTTTTATGTGGTGAAACACAACTGAATATTTTGTTTCGTCTTCCTTTTCAGACCGCAAAGTTTGCCTACAGTAACGCAGGTAAGTGTTGTGTGTAACTATAAACGACAAACGAACGGTGAGCAGGATGTACTTATAATCCCGCAAAAAGTGTCAAGCGTATTAATTAAGCCAGCCACAGTCGTAGAGAGAATTTCGATGCAGCTGCTGGAATAACTGTTCGTGTTAAATGTCCGAAATGTTTAATGGATAAGATGGCCATTGAAACATAAATAGGTGTAACATGACTGAAAAAATACCTTGGATAAGTGTTTGTGTAAATGAAGGCTGTACTGTCACTCATTGTCAGTTTTGTGATACCTTCCTAGACTTTTCCTTCAAACACAATACAAAATCAGAGAATGTGAAAGTAATAATTGCTGACTTCTTCGAAGCAATCAAATAGGTGTGAAAGTCGCTGTGATGGCTGATGTTTTAAGGTAAGATGCTGTTTGGAGAATTATCTTCATGCTACGGATTCTGCCTATCATCAACCATGCAGTATCAACTTCTGAACTGGAAAAATTATTCTTCGCAAATACTCCGCCATTGATGAAGGGTCGAGGAAAGAGAGAACAATTAATCTAGAGCAACATCAAGCATTGCATGGGACCGGTATTTAGTTGGAAGAGAATTTAAAATAACAATTGTTTATTGGAGACTTTATTAAGAAAATGGAGGTATAATTTCTGCACCACCTGCGAATGTAGGCACGTAAAGAGATACTTTTATGTTAACAAAATTATAAAACGCTTTGATACAAGGCATTTTTAGGAAATTACATGATACGTCATACAAACGGGGATTTTTTAAACGTAAGATTCAAAATGTGTGAAGAAACCACTAATAGTGTATATAACAGAGGCACCTTGTGATAGTCCAGCAACCTAACTCCAGATAATCGGAGAAATTCCCTACTGGCTGTGTCCCTGCTTGTAGTTTTCTTTAAATTAAGACAGCCAATAGGACATACCTTGGCAATAATGGTGGCTTGTGGAGTTTTTTTCACACCAAATCTCACCGTTTGTGCTATGATGGACAAGGAATGAATCAGGCCGCCGTCAGGTCAATAGCATAAGAATAGCCCTTGATTTATGTAATGCCTGGGAATCATTTACATTGTTTATAAAATCAGACATAGAGACCGCCGAATTTTTCCTTCTGTTGTTAAACTATACATTATAGCGTTATCAAGTGGTGCCACTGATATGCAATGAGTTCCCTTGGACTAGCAGATACTATGAGACATTATAGTCCGAGACACATCACTATATATTTTCGCGGTCACGAATCCGCTTATATCAGATACTAGGGTTGCCAATAGGTCCCAAAATTCACCCATATTCAGAAGTTCTTCCCTCTCCTACAGTAGAACTCAACACTGACAGTGCGAGGGACGATTTTTCCAAATGTCATTGGCATGTTGATTTAGTAATAGTTAATTCATATTTTTATTTGTGTATTACGCTTTAAAAGCCTTTTCATATAACAGCGGTGCAAGAGCACAAAGATATGAGTGATTTTTAATGATTATTAATTTTGTTTCGTTAACTTTACATCATACTTTTCGTATAAAATTTTGTGACTGTATTTTGTTGATTTGAAATAATGTGAGAGAAAATATTAACAAGAGACATGTTTTATACCCAATTAATTTAAGTAGTACTGCTCGTGTTATTAAACATTATCGTTCTATTCTACTATGTATATATAATTAGAGATCATTTGCATTAATCAAATAATAGAGTCTTAATTTTTGATCAGTACATTTTTTTGCTAGAGATTTCCGTAATTCAAAATTAAACATCACAAGTAATAAAAATGAGAGAAATTGTAAGTTTATTCCAGGATATCGTGGATGCAACCAACGCCATGCAAAGAGAAAGTAACTTTAAAAAAAAGTAGTAGGAATGGTTATAAAATAATGTTATGTGAACATATTACAGTACACGAAAATCTGTCATTTGTTTTTTTTTGGCGAAATACCATTACTAATGAGCAATAAAAAATTAATGGCTGCTTCATTTTAGAATATAATGTTTTACAAAAGCATAAAAATTGTTTTAGATACAAATTAAAAACCCAGGCGAAGTTACTTAAAACTCAATTAGCTATTTAAAGTCACACGATATAAAATTATATAATAATCTAAATAGACATATTGTATTATTATTTTTAAACTGCTCGTAACTGAGAGTAATATGTCTTCGCGGTAAAACAATAAAGGTTTATAATTCTTCTACAGAAAGGTTTACAAAACTTGCTTCCCTCCCCGGCGGGGAGTCGAACCCCGGTCTCCCGCGTGACAGGCGGGGATACTAACCACTATACTACCGAGGAAGTGACGTATGACAATGAGAATAAATATGAGAAAATATCACAAATAAACATGACAATTGTTGATAATATTGAAAAGTAATATTTATTCAGCACATAGCTACTTGTCATCTTTTAAAAATCACCTCATGAATGAAGTGATTGGTTTTTCTTAAATATGTCATGTATCACATGCGTTTTATATTTCTGTTAACATAAAAGTGTCTTATTTGTGGTTTAATATATACCTTTCACTTACATATTCTATCTATGTATTGGGATATCTCATTTATAGATAATATGAATAATAGGTAATATGCAAAATATTATTAAAGTGAATGCGCACGAATGCCATTGGCGTAATTTGTTAGACTTTGTAAATGTTTCTCTGCAAGGCGCGGAGGAATATTGTGGAAGTAGAACTTTAGCAGGTATTCAGAAATGTTCAAAGTAACCGTGAACGGACTATATCAGACGAGTGGAGGGCTACTGTTAATGGGAGCATTTGAAGAGGCTTCCAAAATGTTATGGACTGGAAAGACTGGTGATATCTAGACTTCAACTAGGCGGAACATGCTGGATCAGGGGTACAGATTTGATTGTAAATATATGAACTGTCACATATCAAATATGTTATTTTTAATAGTAATGCATTACTTGTGAACAAACCGTTGATTAGACAGATTGTAACTAAATGTTCGTATTACTTTCTGTTAGTTGGCATACGAATATTTCAATTCTAGCATTGTTATATATTGTTATAACAATGAGATTTATTCACTGATCTGACTCAGTTCTGAGGTATTTATAAGCAACTCTAAGGGAAATGTAACTCCTTGTTTCTTAGTAAGAGACTTTTTCCTTTGCAGTCTTTCTTTTTGATATGTTTATTTAACATATGATGCTTTGAAATTTAAAAGTATGGAAACGATACAATGCACCTAACATCATCGAAAACACTTTTCACTCTGTTCTCGTATTTAGGGGGTTTGAATTTCTAAAGGTCCGGAAATTCGTTAATAGGT